TGTGTAAAACTAACGTTACAAACGAACCTGACATAGAAGTAACTTTAGGCTCAGTTCATTAATATTTGTAAAATACTTGGAGATGGTAGGATGAAAAGGGGTCTCTAGGCCTCCGCGCCACACCACAGTGCTCTGACCTTCCTTTCTCCTCTAAGGGGGGAAGGAAAGAGAATGACTGGGGCTCCCTGACAGGTCACATAGATGTGGTGAGGAGTTATAGAGCCTGGGTCATGGGAAACTGGTGCCACCTTAGTCAGGGGGGGCATGTGCCCCCCCAGTGACCAGTCAGAGACCTGGGGGGGAGGTCCCCCCACATCCAATCTTGTTGCTGGGGGGGGAGGTTCCCCCATGGCAAATCTCACCAAGGGCGGGGGGTGTCCCCCTGTGCAGCCGATCACGAGGTGGCTGATCACTGCAGCTGCTTCCGGAAGTGGCAGCAGAGACTGGGATTGAGATTGGTCCTGCTACTTCCATAGCAGCAGCAGCGAAAATTATTGCCACTAGAGAAGCAGGAGGACCTGTGCCACTGTTGGTGCTGCCATCATGGGAGCTGAGGCAACAGTTGGTTTCCTCATGGTGGCAGCAGCGGTGGGAACAGCCTTCTCACCTACTGGAGCTAGTGGAAGTTATCAAACAAATCTTCCCCCCCAACCACACTTTGTAGCACTACAGATAAATATTTGTCCATAGCCTTGCTCTGTCCTACTCAGAGCTGCATCTAAAAAGATAGTGTGCATCTATTCTAGAGTCTTTAAAAAAAACAAAAACAACCTTGGCCCATGTACACATTAAATGGATCATGAAAAACCATGCACATGAAAAGCATCTAAATAAAAATATTAACAGTAAGAGGAAAAGAGGGACCCAGTTTCTGCAAACACTCATAGATAAGTTTCACTTTATCTAAGCACCTTCTGAGAAATCTTAGCTGGTGCCAGCTGACCAGTAGGCTGTAAAAATAATTAGACTGTAAATTTACTGATGTATGTTAAAAAAAATCAGGAGCGGAGATAATTCTACATCTCTGCCAAGTGTTCCATGCATAGTGACAAGTGAAACTGCAAAGGGGACTGCATGATAGATGGGCCAGCCAAAAGCCTCAGCCTCACTCATAGCAGCATTTTATCACTGTGTTCTTCATGAAAGCTCTCCTTGTCAGCCATATGGGAAAGTAGTTTTTCAAATCAGAAATGCATTTTTCCCCTTAAGACAACAAATTAGGGCTCTGCTGAAGGGAAAAGTACAAGAGGTGCTTGTTCTGTAGTGTTCCTTTTGATTTTTCATGTTCAAGAGAGTTAGAATATGCTTTACTCTCCATGTGAATATTAGGACCTTGGTGGGGCTCTGAGAAGGTTAATCTAATGAGCACAGCGTGTGACAACTTCTGTATCAAAAATCAGGCAGGGATTAGTAAACTGCTTTCCAAAATTTGAATCCAAGGATCTTAATGAGACAAAACAGGTGAGCTGTTTCTGGAAATACATTCACTGAGTGGAGCAAGCCAAATAAAATACTAACTGCTTTAGAGGATATCAATTTGCAAACTGCCATGTTCAGTTTACACAAACAACTTATCTGTATGCAAAAATGCACAGACTGTCAGAACTCTTTTCTCCAGATTACATATGGTAATGTACATAACTATGTTAAGGACAGCTATGTTAAATTTGAACTTTCTGCAAGTACCACAATACTCATTTCATCATTCCTTCTAGTCTTTATTTCTTGTGTGAATTTGAGAATTAAAAAAAGTGTGATGTGCACAAAAACATTATCTTCAGATGGTTAAATTTGTATCTATGAAGAGGCAGTAATTGGTACTCTGTATGAAGCACCCCTCATTACTGTAAACATGGGATTGAAAATAAGATGGCTGTTGGTGTTTGGATTAAAGACCTGTTGACTGCCATTAAGTAGAATTTATTAGGGAATGACATTCCTACTTCAGAATTTGGTAGATTTTCGCTGACAAAACAGAACTCCTGAAAACTGAAATATTTTGGATTCAACGATGCATAGCTCAGGTTTCAGTGACGCCCATTAGGTGATTACCTCCCTTTAAGAGAAGAGACCATGGTGTACCATGGGAGATGGAGGCTGTCCAATGAACGTATTTCAGTCCATACGAATAATGGGAACTGTAACTTGCAAATAAAAACAATTCTGATTTTAATTATATTAGTTCAGTTTTTGGCCTATATATTTTCATATTCAAATTTCTGCTAAATATGAGATTAGCTGAAAGAACTCAAGTTTTTATCATCAACTCCATTCAGTATATTGTGAAAATCAAGAGCCTTGTTTTTGTTTTAGACAATAAAATGATCATGTATACTTTACAACAGTGGGGCCCAACCCCCTTTGGCAGGCGTGTCACAAATTAGCCTTACATTCTCCCCAAGTGCCACTCCAAGTCCCCTCCCTGGCCCAATCAGCTGCTCTATTTTCTGTTCCCTGCCTGATCTGCTGCTCTTCTTTCTCCTTACTGCCCAATGCTCCCTGCCTAATCTGGTGCTCTATTTTACGCTTCCTGCCCAATATGCCACTGTGTTGCCTGCCCTCCCCAGTCTGCTGCACACCACACACACAGGCTGCTCGTGCCACCTGTGGCATACATGCTGCAGGTTGGCCACTCCTGCTTTGCAAGTTGTGTATGCAGATGAAGTTTTGGCCTACGCCCTGAAGAATTAACAGTGCAAGGGTCTGACTCAGGAATATCAGAACATGTAAGCACTTGTTCATCTTTAAATACATGCAAAGATGCCTGTTAAATCAGTAGGATTCAAGCAGCTGCTATTAGCTAAATGTGTGCATAAGTATATGTTGACTAAGAACAGATTTAAGCACATACTTTCCTGAATTGGTGCCTAAAACCCTAATCCACCACAAGATTGAGAATACAGGTACACTTGTTCTGAGCTGAAAGGCCGAGATATACACATTAATCATAAAAAAAATAAGACTGGAAGGGACTTTAGGAGATTATCTAGTCCAATCCTCTGTTCAAGACAGGACCATCACAGTGCAAGCCATCCCAGAAAGGGACTTGCACTGCCCAGCTAGAGCAGCCAGGTGCAAAGACAGCTGGGGGAGGCAAAACCACCATCCTCCCCCTGGTCCCTCAGGGCACAGGGGAATTTTGCCCAGCATGCACAACTCATGAGTCATGCTTCTGGTACTTGAGGCAGTACTTTAGAGTCAATGCTTGAGGGCCTCACAGAAGCAATGAATTTTAAAGATTAGTTTGTGAATATATACAATTTGGTCAATCTACAGTCCAGCTCTTTTTATCCTTCAATCTCAATGTGTTAAAAAATGTAAAAGCTTAACAGGATGATTAAAAGGGTTCATCCATTCTTTGTCCTTAGTGGAGCGTTTTTCTTTAATACTTCATGAAAAAGACCAATTGGGTGTTTTGTACAAAAACTCTATTTTCTTTTGCTAGAGTTCAGAGACTAGCAGTTATAATACAGAAAGAAAAAGCAGGAGATAACCTGGAATATAGTAAGTAATAAACTACAACTGACATTTGTTTCAGATAAAGCTCAGGGTATAAGAACAAGCAGGTCTCTGAATGCCTAACTTTACTGAATATTAAATATAATGGTGTATAAAATATATCTTTAAGAATATCTTCAAGTTTATTATTAAAGGGACAGAAATTTTGCTCTTGCAAATGAGTGGAGTTCCACTGAGTCCAGAGGAGCTCTGTTGATTTTCATCAGTTGTGGGTATGGAAAAGTGGAATCAATAAATGCAAATTCAAATTCTTTTAGCGAGTGCCTGCCCCTCCTCCCACCCCACATCAAAGAAGAAAAAAAAAAAAGGTCTGTCACTCAATCACTTTTTTAATTTTGGATACTTGATCTAGATAACCGTGGCCTCAATACAACTTCTGAAATGCATGCGTGCAGAATTGAAAGGCCTATTTTTGGGGCATGGCATTTTAGTTAAATTCTGTTGCACCCCAACTTGTTCACTCAAATAGGATAATGTGCATTGGGAGCAAACAGAGTCCTTTTACCCTCCTCTTTAAAGCCTTAGGCACTCAACTTCATGAATACCTATTTAGTTAGAACCTTGGCCTTCCTGCATTTTTCTTGCAGTGAGACTGACCCGGCACCTACTTCAACATTGTAGGAATATGTAGCTGCACTTGCTGCATTCATGTGATCTCTGATGTTATAATGGTTCATTAGGGAGCTGTTACAACAGCTGCATGTTTTAAATCATCCCTACAGATGTTTCATTTTAATGTGAGCGGTACATCAGATTGAAGAAAAACATAGATGACATAACACCACATTCACCCCTAGCTTTACTACCTCAGATCTACCAAGCAGAGCTACAATACATTTGAGGATCTGAGCGCTGGAGTCTTCATTTGTTTTGGAGTCATTCAACTATGCATACTATTTTCACTTAATTCTTTATTTGATTTAAAATATTATATATTCTGCATGTTTAACATTTATCTTGCATCTCTAATTGCAGTTTTTCAGATTAGTTTTTATCACTAGTTAGGCATAAAGGACTGGTTAATGTTAAAATGTTTACAGATGACATTTCTCACATTTTGAAATCTTTCCCCCATCCTGCTAGTCTTAATTAGAATAATATAGCTATCTTTTCTTCTAAAAAGTAGATGTAGAATATGACACACATCTACTACTCCACACCAAAATATACTTAACATTAAAGGAATACATTGTCATGTAATTTAAAAAAACCTTCCATTTTAGGCAATGTTTATAATCATTTAAGTTAGTAAACGTTCCTCTTTAATGTCTTCCCCTTGATAAATAGGATCTTTATTATTTCTCTTAGTAATAGAATTCTTAAATAAATTGAATAAGTAGGCTTGAAATTTCTCCTTCATCTTTCCACTACATTTACCAGACTTGTACACTTTGTTGAATGAAGGAAAATTCTTAAACCTCATCACCTTACACAAATGCACTTTTGTTTCTCAAAAAAGATGGCAGAGAGAAGATACTTACATTTTAGCTCAAGTTTGATGAAGTCTGTGTTCCCCAGATTTTCAAGAAACACTCCATCAGGGGCTGAAGTTTTGAAGTAGAAGGAGATGTCTGCACTGGTTTCCCCTTGGAATGTGGAGAAATGAAGATACGATGATGGAGTAATGAAAGATGCAGCATTCCAATAATTTCCTGCAGAGATGGGAGGGACAAAATACATATGTGTGTATATATATCTGTTTTTTAGTGCTCTTTTAGAGCTGTCACTTAAATAACCAGAGTGGGGATCAGCGGGAAGAATAGAGAAGGTGAAATTTGTAATAGTAAAAGAAGTTAACATATTCTCACATTCAAAAAGATATCATTCAGATTCTAAAAACACCTTGCCCTTTTTCTCTATTTTGGAAATTGATCCAGGTCCAGTGTGTGGAATCTTGTGTATATTCCCAAGCTCTTGATTTATGAAATTAGTATTTAAACATACATTTTTGTGCCCAGGGGCCCCGATCCAGCAAAGTTTGCTTAAAGTTAAGTATTTACTAGTAAGGGTGTGTGAAGTGGGCCCTATTCAATTTGGATTTGGCCCAATCAGGGACAGTGATTTGATTAGTTGATTTAGATCACTGTCCCTGATTTGATTCGGCCGAATCTGAAGATCCGAAGCTGATTGAGAGAATCATCGATTTGGACATAGACACAGCTTTAAAAGTTTTTTCTACAGACCTTGAGGTAGCAGGCACAGCTCATGATCACTGTGATGCTAGGGCACATGGAGCGTCCCACAGGAGTGCAGGGGGTGGGGGGGTCCCTCCATGTGCTCAGCAGTGAATCTAGAAGTGGACCAGAAGTACTTCTGTTCCACTTCCGCGTCTGCTGGAGAGTGCACTGGGGGGCCCCCCCATGCCTCTCCAGCTTGGCGATCAGCGCAGGGGGACCCTGGGTGTCCCCCCACCCCAGACCCAGAAGGCACCAGTCACTGAGCCAGGGGGCACGGGGGAGCCCCCTGCGCGCTCCCTGACAGACCCAGAAGTGGTCCAGAAGTGCTTCTGAACCATTTCTGGGCCTGCTGCCAAGTGCGCTGGGGAGCCCCCCACCGTGTTTCTGTGGGACACTCCATGTGCCCCACCATCACAGTACTGACGAGCCCCTGCTACCTAGAGGTATGTAGAAAAAACATTTAAAGTTGTCTCTATGCCTGAATCTCTGAATCTTTCTGAATGTCTCTGAATCAATGTGGAGGGTTCTGATTTGATTTGGAAAGATTAAAGGGTCCTCTGATTTGATTGGGATTCAGAGATTCGGCCATTAAATTGGGCCAAATCTCCACTGAATCGAATCAGGGACCGAAGCTTTGCACCGAAGCTCTATTTACTAGCATGTAGGCAGTCATATTAGTCATGGGCGATCAGGCCCATGATATAAATATGCATGCAAGTGGTGATTTAGGAGACCACCTGGTCTTGTGCATGGACAAATATTTGATTGCATGCATTCATTATTATTTATGTAACTTTTCATATTCAGTCGCATCAACTAATTTGGAAAATCTAGCTCTTTACCTTTTTCTTTTTGATTTTATCCACATGACAAAGTTACAACAGAAAAAGAATAATACAGAATGGATACATATATTTAATATTGCTTCCTAATAAAGCTGCACTAGAAAAACTAAATAATAAAAACAAAGATAATTAGATAATTTTGATTTTAAACAAGAGGCCAATGGCTTGCAAAGACTAGTGTGTGTGTGCAAGGATGTATGCACACATTTGGATAAGGAAGACTGAGTAACTGTTACAGTGATTCTATTTCTGTCACATATGCTGTATCCAGAAAGTTGAGAATGATTTATTTTTGCAATTCTAAAAATGCCTAGATCGTTATATATACAAATAAAGTTATAATCAATTTGAATTTCACTTATCAACCCAATACAATAGCATAATTAACAGTCCAGCCAACAAACATAGCAGCAAACTCCTTTCTGCTCCACCCAAATCCTATATATTCAGCCATCCCTAGAAGTCCAATTAAACAGATGCTTGATACAACATTTACATATATAATATTGTTTCAGTGGTTAACACTGGCTAAGTATTAGAATATGAGCGGATGTCTTGCAACCTTAACATTTGATATTCTTGATGAGGCCACACTGTTGCTTCTTCACACTTGGGATTCTGGTGTTCACTGCTGCTTACTAATTCTATATTAGAATTTAAATGAAGTATTTGAATTCAGCAATTTTGTATTTTGGTTTAAACACACTTAGGGAGGGGATTTCTTCTGGACTGTTCTTTTGTTTCTTTCTGTCTCTTTCCATCTCTTCCTATTCCTTTGAAGTATGGGGAATAGATGGCTTCAAATGAGCAAACCAGTTTAATGAATCCTAGATACAGCCATAACTGGGGACATGGGAGAGCTTAGTATAGTGGCAAAGTACCTTTTTAAATACTTTGATGCAGAACCTTTTGGGGACAACCAGTTGATTGTTGTAACTGGTCTTCAGTGAAAGTAACTCTTAGGCTAGGGACAGACATTACACACAAACTGGTTTAAGTGATCAGAAACTGGTTTAAACCTGTAACAGAACAGATGTTCAGTGCACATAAACCAGTTTCAAAATGGCTGAAACCGGTTTGAGATAAACCTGGCTGAATGTACTATCAGACTCAATTGATTTGGCTCAAACCGGTTTATGCAATGTCTGTCCCAGACTCCTTGCTGGTTTAAGTTAAATCATGCTCCCCCAGCATCCCGGCATGCTCTCTGGGCTGGGTGGGGATTTCTGCTCCACAGCAGGGCTGGCCCCTCCCCTCTCCTCCCTGGCTGCAGCTCTGGCAGAGACTTGCAGGCACAGAGCATTGACCTGGCTTCTCCCTGATAAGCAGGGATTATTCCCCCTGCCCCTCTGCCTTCTGCAGACACCTCAGCATTAGCTAGGAGACCACATGCTGGCTACAGCTGTGCTATGGGAGACGACAAAGGCACATAGGCTTTTTGGACTAATCAACAGGTAGCTTAATGTCCTTCCTTGGAAAAGCTGTTTAAGAAGAGCTTCATTAGTTAATGGAGAGAGGCTTTGTTTTGTTAATGGGTTGATAAACACTGAATTAGGGGTGATAAAAATTCCCTGTTGAGTAGCTCAGTGGGGGTGGGGTATGTGTGGAAATAATCAGAGCGTGGTGCTGGGGCCTGCCCACACCCCCCTCAGCTTAGCCTTGTAGAAGTGAAGGGAGTGCTGCTCTAGTGCCCCCCCAGCTTCTAGTCTGAGCCACTGCAGGCATGTGCCTGAATTTTTTCAGTCCAGAGGGGATGTCTGTTGCAGTTATGAAGTGATTTAGCCTACCCAGGTTAGACTAACTTGCAAAGATTGAATTAGTTCAGGCTCCGGCTTTTTGAATATCTGTCCCTAGCCTTAGTAGATGTAACTATGTATATGCAAGCTGGTTGGTTCCAGATTAGGTACCTTCTATTATTTCAGTAATCATTTTAGTATTCCAGATGGATCTGTTCGAAGAAGGGATGCTAACTAATTCTTAGGTTCCTGTTTTAAAAGTTGCCTGGATTACATGAGCAAAAAGGATATCTATGCATGTAACTACATTTTCATTCAGTGACACTATTAAGGGTACAGGGCTGCTTGCATCTCACACCTTGTACTGTTCTGTTTTTTCAGAGTGCACCCTCTCACATGTTAAGTCAGTCTTTGGTGGACTTTGAATTCATTTCTCATCTACACAGACTATGAGTTGGTTATGACAAGATGCCCATGACCAACAACTCTCAGCTTCCAAATGATTTTATTAAAAGCTGTGTGCTCAACCTCTCTTCCAACTTTTCTCCTACTTACAGTGGCCCTTTGCTGTGTACATTGGACAGATGGGGTGATCCCTATGTGTAAGAGTGAATAAAAAGTGATTTGACATCAGTTCCAGAAAGACACACAAACCTATGGAAGAATACTTTAGCTTCCCTGTACACTCCATAGCTGACCTAAGGACTGCTGTTCTCAGGGAGAAAAAAAAATTAAAAACAAACTTGAACAGGAAATTGTGGAACAAGAAATCATCCACAGACTGGATTCTGTTAAGGATGATCTAAGCTAGGGGTGGTCAATTTGTGGTATACATGCTACAAATGTCATGGGCAGCCAGTGCCATAGCAATGAAGTTTGGCATCTGGGGCAAAGCCTAGCAGTGGCAGCTTGTTCTTTCCCCGCACACAGATCCGATGGGCAACCCCCCCTTGGCCCATGTTTGTCCGGAAGTGCATGCAGTGGTGGGAACTGCCCTTCCCCCATCCCTGCACCCTCCAAAATGAGCCTCTTCGGCTCCATCCTGTACCCCGCCCTGGCTGGGCAGTGCCTGTTGGTGCCCCTTCACTTCGGTTATGGCACTGCGGGCAGCTTCTCTGTGTAGCACACAGCAGGACAGGAGGTGACAGGCAGATAGGGAAGGGAGAAAAAGCAGAGCAGCAAATCAGGCATGGGAAGGGAATAAGAGCAGCACTTGAAGATGTTGAAGGGCTAATTTGTAGCACTGGTCTAAACCAAGACTACATATTCTTATCTCATTACCTGGTTAGCTTTCATAGCCCCTATGTCCCTCAAGGGGTTCACTGCTTTACTTTTCTCTTTCCTACCCACTCTGCCTAGCAATGTCTCTTCTTTTTCCTCTCCTTTCCCTACCTTTTGTATTTTAATCACTGATTTCTATTTAGAGTCTCTATTCCTGCAGTCCTTTCATAGCATCTGTTGTAGTATGCTGCTGCTTACAAAAGCTTATGTATCCCTGATTTAGTTAGTCTGTAAGGTACAAATCTACCTTGCCTGCCAGTAAAAGATATTATCAAAAAACCCACTTGCTTTTTGCATATTTCCTGGACCATCACATTCAACACCCTAACACTGCTATACCATCTGTAAAGGGAGAAAGAAATGACAGAACACCCTCACACCCATTGGTCTCAAAGTGCTTGAGTCTGTTGACTTCACAATAAAGAACTTCAAGATATGCCCCAGAAGTTTCCCTTTTCTAGAGGCACCAAAGTACTGATACATTCAGATTTAATACCCTTTTTGCTGTTTGCTTTCATGTATTGATGCCTTTCCATATATTGGAAACATGCTGTTATTGGACTTAAAGCATTCACCCCTTGGCTTTGCCCATGCAGTGACACCTACCAACATC